CGGTTTAGGCTGATTTCACATGAAAACCTTGAAAAACCAAGTTAGAGGGCCTCTGTTGGCCAGAAAAAGCGAAAACCAACACCCTATCGATGGAAGGGTCTTCGGGTGCGGTGGCTTCGCTGTTCCTCATTCGCGGTCAGGATTTTCCTTCAGCTAACATGCACAGAAATGGATGAGGAACAAAATGGTTAGAAAATCGTAGGGAACGGGAAATGAGAAGGGGGTTATCAGAGGGGTTTTTAGGTTGTGGCCACGATGGTTCGGCTGAGCTTCACTCATGTTTTTTGGCTTATCCGTTGTTTTTTTTGCTCTAATATGGGTGTGGGGAGGCTTGGAATTCAGTTTCGAGTGGAAGAAATATTTTTTTACCTCTTTCGATGCCGATGGTGGCTTCGGTTCGGTGGCGATGGTGTCCCTCCGATAGCTGGTCTTCCCTCAAGTCGCCCTCTTTCTTCTTCTCTGGTTGAGGTTGTCGGCTAAGGTTTTGGGGCCGACTGAAGAGATATTTAAATACCTCTCTTCCCTTTGATCCTAGCCATTTATTCGCATTGACGTGGAGCGAAGAGAGTTGTCCGATTGTTGCCTGTTTAGGCCGATCACGTGTGTGAATCTAGGTCGTCCATCGCGATCAATCTCATATGTTCGATCGCGTTTAAAGAAGAAACATATCTAGGCCGTTCGTGCACGCGAGATGCGATATGGGCCACCGGATCGCCCAGGCACGTGGATCGCCTGTGTGGCTCTCGTGTGGAGCCGGAGTTAGTGTGTCTGTCACGCGGCGTGTTCTGATTCGCCATGCTGCTGACGTGGCCGTATTTATCATTTTTATGATTTTACTCCCATGTGTTAAGTTTCTACTTCAAAAACACTCATCTTTATTTACAGTTTCACCCATTTTTTTAAAATTATTTTTAATTTCATTCATAAATCTATTTTTTTTCAAAAAATTTTATAAAAAATAAAATAAGATAAAAATTAAATTATTTTAATATATTATTTTATTAATATAAATTTATTTCGATACAAATTTTCAGATCCGGATGTTACATATTCAGTTTATTTTTTTCATCTACCAAATGTCGTAATGTTTATATATTATTCCATTGAAAAGTGATTAGTTAATTGTTTCTCTTAAGATGATAAGAACCTGTGTCTTTATATTATTATATCTAATAACTAGCTAAATATTTTTCTAGGTTAATCATAAAAAAATTATTATAGTTTTGATATATATATATATATATATATATTAAAATATTAATGTTATAATTTTATATTTAAAAGAGCACATTACATGTGCTATACTAATTAAAGACAAAAAAAAAACAATAGTTTAAATTAACTAACTAACTATTAATTTTAAAATACTGTACAGTTATTTTTATTAAAATTTCATTTTATATAAATTATTATAATAATTACTTTTATGGGTATTATAATGGAAATGTACACACGTCATACATGCAAATTTTACATTAAAATACATACCAAACCTTTTTTAAATTAGAAAAATATATTTTAAATTCAAATAAAACTTGAATTATATTATTTTAATTTCTCATCAAATTCCATAACTTTTTTTGTTCGTAAATATAATAAATATGGTGTTCATGTAAAGTACTTGAACTATATATATATATGTATAGTTTTATGGGGCTCTAGGTTTATTAATAGTAGTACCTTTCTGTATAGGCCTGTTTGTTGGGGAAGCAAAACATTTTAAAAAATAATAAACAAAATTTTTTAATTAGATGTCTGGTTATACTAAATTAAGTCCGATGAAAACGACGTCGTTTGGCCGTTGGAAAACAAAATTAGGTCAAATATGTTATTAAATCGTAGATTCTTACTTATCAATGCTTACGTCATTATCCAATAATATTATAATATAAAGTAGGCAAATAAAATATTATTATTGTTGGTTTGAAATATTTTGAACTCATGGAATACTTTTTTTTTTTTTTTTAAATTAATTAATAATTAGTGTTTTTGGGTATAAAGTGAAAAAAAAAAATTTGAGAATTTTTTAAAATATATATTTTTCTCATATATGTATATATATGTGTGTAAAGATATACCCAGAAAACAAAGTAAATAAATAAATGGGAAAGAAGCAGATTAGTAGTCAAAAGGGTACTGCCCCAATTCCCAACTTCAAAGTTTAGAAGGATCTGATTAGAAAGAATCACCAGAGAATGTATTATGTAATTTGTAAACCTCAGTACCCAGCATGTGGGCTCCAATTTTTTTAATCTAGTATTAATAAATTAATTAACTTTTTATTAGATTAATTAAATATATTATGACAAAACTGAGTTGACTAAGAAATTTAAAAATTATTTAATCAAAGTAATTATTTTAGTAATTATCATACAATGAAATTTAATGGTCACAATTAATTATTTTTAATAAATTAAATCATTTAATACCTCTTTTTTTATGAAATGTTTTTTGGAAATTGCGATTATTTTGGTGAATTATTTCTTAATTTTGATTAAAAATAAATTATTCATGTTGGAATTAGAAAAAGATTGTTCATGTCTTATATTTATTAATTGGATTGTACCCTCTAATTATTGTTGTGTAATAAACTATATTTTTATAGAAATAAAAAATAATAATTATAAATTTAATAATAAAAATAAAAAATTTGTCCTTTTTGCTTTATTATAATATTAATATCTGAACTGTAGCTGCCAATTAAATTTAAAAATTAAAAATTCATGGGTCGTTACTTACTACGTAGGTATGGCAATGGCTGTTCTGCCAAACAAACGGTGAAAGGAAGCTTATTTAATTTTTATATTTTAAAAAGCATTTGAAAAACAATATCATATTAAATTCTTGAGGTGATAAATATGAGAATTGCATGCAGCAAATATACACATACTATGCATATATATATATATATATATATACGCATATGCATAACATATGTATCTGAGATGAGTGAGATTATGGAAACCAGGAGATGCATGCAAAAACTACGAAGCTCAATGTATATATGTGGATATATATATATATATGTAGATAGATATATATGGGAAAAGAAAAAGAAATAAAAATTATGGGGGCAAAGATGCAGTAATTCAGGCATGAAAAGATCAAACAGCATTTACTTTCTCATTTAATGCCTTCACCTACACTTGCCCATGTTGAGAAGCTGCAGTTTTCTGCACATTTAATGCACACACACAACAATCACATACTCTCTCTCTCTCTCTCTCTCTCTCTCTCTCTCTTCTTGCCAGTAACAACAATTCCTCAGCAACCACAATAGCCAAATCCATCTATACCGAGATTCCACCTTCTGCAATCCATGAAAAACTACTTCTTTACACAACCTTGCACTGTAAAAATGGACGAGGTTTGCCAAACTCTGCAGGTGTTCATGATAATGCTGGTGGAACTCCAAAGAAGCTTACTTTAATGGCGTCAGTCTTGACCCTCTTGTATCAGTTTCATGGGTGAGAGGTTTTTGGTTCATGTCTTATCAGACACGGAAGAAACAAAGGAGAGTGTTTTTTCTCTCTTGGGTCTGGATTTGCAAGTCCTGATCTTTTGTTTTCTGAGTTTGCAGGGCCTCGAAGGTTATAAGAGGAGTTGGGTTTTTCTTTTAATCACATTGCTGGTTTTGTGATATAATTATATGTTAAATATAGAGGCTCAGAGGTGTATAATGATGGAGGGTTTTGTCTCAGTGCATTGTCGGCGGGCTTTGTGTGGAATATTTTGAATCTTCCTCTGTTTTTGAACAGTCTCCAGTTCGATGTCTCATCTGGGTCTAAAAAGGAAGTAGTATCTCAGTAACGATAAATTCTTAGTCAACCTCCAGCTGCTACTTTCTGCATTTTTCAAAGTCCAGTAGTGGGTCTGTTTCTGTTACCTTTTTGGATATCTGTATGTGTTTAATTCCATAACTGGAATCTTCATTGCCATCTGGGTAAATTATGAAGGTTAGCAGATGGGAATTAAGTGGGTTTCTTGTACAGTTTTTTTCGCTCCTATCATCAAATCTGTGGAGCATAGTTTCAGGTCTTGGCTCAATGTCTTCCATTGCTATTTCTTACGGTGAGAATGGTCCTGTTTTCTGTGGTCTAAAAGCTGATGGGTCTCATCTGGTGACATGTTATGGATCAAACTCAGCTATAATTTATGGAACTCCTGCTCATTTCCCATTTCTTGGCTTAACAGCTGGCGATGGATTTATATGTGGGCTGTTGATGGACTCTAATCAGCCATATTGTTGGGGAAGCAGTAGTTATATTCAAATGGGTGTTCCTCAACCAATGATCAAAGGAGCTGAGTATTTAGAAATCAGTGCAGGTGATTACCATCTCTGCGGATTGAGAAAGCCCTTGACCGGAAAGCGCAGAAACTATGCTTTTGTTGATTGTTGGGGATACAACATGACTAAGAACTATGAGTTTGATGGTCAGATTCAGTCAATCTCAGCTGGGTCTGATTTCAACTGTGGATTGTTTTCTCAGAACAGGACCGTTTTTTGCTGGGGTGATGAGACCAGCAGCCGGGTAATCAGCTTGATCCCCAAAGAAATGAGGTTTCAGAAGATTGCAGCTGGTGGGTACCATGTTTGTGGGATCTTGGAAGGGTTAAACCCTAGAGCTTTTTGCTGGGGAAGGAGCTTGGATCTTGAAGAAGAGATTTCAGTGGCATATTCAGATCAAGGAAATGTGGATTTGCCTCCAAAAGATCCAATGATTTCGGTTGTGGGAGGAAAGTTCCACGCCTGTGGAATCAAGAGCTATGATGGTTTTGTAATTTGCTGGGGTTTTATTGTCAAGCCAAGCACTCCAGCTCCTAGTGGCATTAAGGTCTATGAGATTGCAGCTGGGAACTACTTCACTTGTGGGATTCTTGCAGAGAAATCCTTCTTACCTGTCTGTTGGGGTCTTGGTTTTCCTACATCTCTCCCTTTAGCTGTAACTCCAGGACTCTGCAAAACCACTCCTTGTGGTCCTGGTTTCTATGAAGTTAGCCATGAAAATGCTCCCTGCAAGTCTCCAAACAGTCATGTTTGCTTGCCTTGTACTGGTAGTTGCCCTGCTGGGATGTACCAGAAAACTGAATGCACTTTGAAATCTGATCGTATATGTGATTATAATTGTTCGTGTTGCTTATCAGCTGAATGTTTCTCGAATTGTTCTTCGTCTATTGCTGCTAATGGGAAGAAAAATGAAAGGTTCTGGTCAATGCAATTGCCAGTCATTGTTGCAGAGGTTGCCTTTGCTGTTGTTTTGGTAATTGTTGTAGCTTCCACTTCAGTTCTGTATGTCCGCTACAGATTGAGAAACTGTGAATGTGCTGCAAAGGCATCAAGGTCCAAGAAGATTAATGGGAATGGTACTTTGAAAGACAATGGGAAAATCCGTCCTGACTTGGAAGAGCTCAAGATAAGGAGAGCTCAAACGTTCACTTATGAGGAACTTGAGAGAGCCACTGGTGGGTTTAAAGAAGAATCATTGGTGGGAAAAGGGAGTTTTTCCTGTGTATATAAAGGTGTATTGAAGGATGGGACTGTAGTTGCCGTCAAGAAGGCTATTATGTCCTCAGATATGCACAAGAACTCGAAAGAATTTCACACAGAACTCGATCTCTTATCAAGATTAAACCATGCCCATTTGCTTAATCTACTTGGTTATTGTGAAGAAGGGGGAGAGAGGCTTCTTGTTTATGAGTTCATGGCCCATGGTTCCCTGCATCAACACCTCCATGGGAAGAACACTGCATTGAAGGAGCAACTGAATTGGGTTCGAAGAGTTACGATAGCAGTCCAAGCTGCTCGGGGAATAGAATACTTGCATGGTTATGCCTGTCCTCCGGTGATTCACAGAGACATAAAGTCCTCAAACATTCTCATCGACGAGGAACACAATGCTCGAGTTTCTGATTTCGGTCTCTCCCTTTTGGGACCTGCAGATAGTAGCTCACCATTAGCTGAGCTGCCTGCTGGGACTCTTGGCTATCTTGATCCTGAGTATTACAGGCTTCACTACCTCACAACCAAATCTGATGTCTACAGCTTTGGTGTACTACTTTTGGAAATTCTCAGTGGCAGAAAAGCTATAGACATGCAATATGAAGAAGGGAATATAGTTGAGTGGGCAGTCCCTTTGATCAAATCAGGAGATATATCAGCAATTCTGGATCCTGTTCTGAAACCTGCACCTGATCTTGAAGCACTGAAAAGGATTGCAAACATGGCCTGCAAATGTGTAAGAATGAGAGGCAAAGAAAGGCCATCAATGGACAAAGTGACAACAAGCCTAGAGAGAGCTCTTGCTCAGTTAATGGGCAGTCCGTGTAATGAGCAACCTATATTGCCAACTGAAGTGGTTCTTGGAAGTAGTAGGATGCACAAGAAGTCCTCTCAGAGATCTTCGAACAGGTCAGTCTACGAAGCTGATGTAGCAGAAGGCGAAGATCAGAGGTGTGAGTTCCGAGCTCCCTCATGGATAACATTCCCTAGCGTGACATCTTCTCAAAGGAGGAAGTCATCTGTTTCGGAGGCTGATGTTGACGGAAAAAGCTCGGAAACTAGAATTGTGGGTAATCCGGGAGGAGGAGGCTGTGGCGGTGATGGTTTGAGGAGTCTGGAGGAAGAGATTGGACCAGCTTCTCCTCAAGAGAGCTTGTTCTTGCAGCACAATTTCTAAAGCAGTTCACCATTTTGGATTTCTTGATTTAGGGATAATGGTGGCTTGGGTTGGAAATTTTAAAGCCTTTTTTTGGAGGTCACAAGGACATGTAAAGACTAAAAAGAGAAGGATCTGATGTATGTAAATCTTCTGCGGTTGCCATTGCTGCTACCATGTTCAAATTGTATTCTAATAGCTGTTAATTAATTGATTTGTCATGGTTAGTTTCTTTCATGTATTGAAATTCTGATAACTTGCTGGATATATAACCTTGTGTGTTTTTTATTTTTTATTTTTTTTTAAATCAGTAATATATATCTATAGTTGTACATTCTGTTCATATCCCACTCCCATTGAAGAAACTTTTTCTTCACTAAAACTTTTTCTATCTCTAGCTTATTTGCTAATAATTTTCTTGCAAATGTAAAATCAAAATTTTCCTGATCTCCCCAAAAAGAAAAACCTTTGGGAAATTATTTGATCAAAAGAAAAAAGAAAGAGAAAAATACCGGAAGAGGTTTCAGAGAATAAAAAGAGAAAAAATTTGCCCCCACGCAGGATCGAACTACGGACCTTCAGTTTACAAGACTGACGCTCTACCACTGAGCTATAGGGGCTACTATCTTTTTGGATATATTAATTCTATAAAATCTAATCCGGAATAAAAAACATGTAACAGTACGCGCATAGAGATATTTGGTCTAGTTAGAGGGTAAGAAAATGCTTTACAAATATATAATATTAATATTTTAAATTTTTATTATTAATTTAATTTCCGCAAATTTTTTATAACTATTCAAGTTCCTATATTTGATTTCTTTTAAATCATTTTGACCTAAAACTATTATTATTTTTAAATCTGAATGTATCTAAAATTCTGATTACAAACACATGAAAGTTTAAAGTTAAAATAAATAAAAATTATAAAATTACAATTTTAAAAAAGTTAATGATTTTAAATAAAATAACAATGAACTCAGATTTATGCCATGTCAAATTATGCTAAGCAGTTCATTTCCAACCTCCATCTTTGCCATAAAAAGGAGGAGCTCTCAGCAGAATTACACATACCCTGTATTTTCTCACAGCTGACGTACAAAATTAAACCAGTTTGAATGATAGCAAATGAAATTTTACTAAAGTATAAGCACTGTATATTCTATCACATTTAATGTACAAATGGAATCTGATGGCAAATGCAGTTTTTACTAAATACCCAATTTTCTGTTTCACAGATAAAATCAACCCCTCTGTAATCATATTTAAAGAATTATACTACAACCCGGTGTTAAAAAAGTTACTATGACTTTATTGCTTCTATAATTAAACATTACTACAAAGAAATCTGAGAGTTTTTCTTAATAGAACACTTAAAAAAAAAAAAGATGTAAATGTAGGACTCTGCTTTACATCCAATGGGGAATCTATATTGGCAGATAATGAATTCAAGCTCACTAAGTATTGATATATTTACATATATGGATGTTTTTCCCCAAAATTTTTATATACATGTAAAATTCATCATCTTGACTTTCCAGAAAGATCATAGCCTGTGCTTATTCACTCGTTTTGGCTTCCGCGGAAAACACAGCAGAATTAGCAAATAATATTTTGGTTCTTCCTCAATCCTCCACAGAGTATATATGACTGGAGAAAGGACCGATGAAGATCCCTAATCTGGATAATAACATGATTGACCTAACTCCACAGGGAAGGATTTCTGAACTGTGTTGCCATTGCATCCAACAGAAAGCTGACAAGATCCTCTCTCTTTACTTCTTTTTCCTTTTTAAGTTCCAGATGACGAACCTGGAGATAAAATTGAATACATAGTAAACAAACTATGGATCAGGTTACGCATATACACAGAGATAGGAGTAAGACTGAAACTTTGAAGTTCGAGAAAGAAACACTAACACATGGTCCTTGCCATACCTATGGGCTCAACCTTTTCTTGTTTCTTAGACAATAATACAATATTTGAAATAAATCCAAAATTTTTATAGAATTAATTTGCAAATTTCCACTTAATTTAACCAGAAGACGGTGAAAATATTTCCTAAAATGAAAGAAATTTATCTCATGAGAAATTATATGGAATTCTGTATGACGTCAAACTTTATTATTTTCAAAAGATTTATATCATATCTTAGTTGAACTAACTGTGGATTTATAAATTAACTCTACAAAATTTATGGATTTGTCCTACCTATGATTTCTGTTGCTGCTGGTTCCCCACTTTTCTTAGAGGAAACAACACAAGCTGTCAGTGGTAAAAGATGCATATGAATAAATAATTTGTTTAAACCCAAAAATTATGGATTTTGGGCTATAGCCTCACAAAAGGAGAAGAGCTTATGGGACTAATCGAACAATTTTTGTAATTGGCTTTGTGTTATTTATACGTGGGAGGCTCTGAGAATCTCCTCGTGACATTTGAATATTTTATTTTTCTATAAAAAGAAATGTCTACTTAGGAGATAATATTCAATTGACCAAATGGACAGGAACATTTGTTTTTCGAGGAACTGGACAGAAGGGCTTTCCATCAGTACATTACCTTGACAAAACCTGTTTGGGACACGCCCATTTCTGTGATGATGACAAGACATTTGATATCATGTTCATTTGCATATTCATATTGCTCTGTAAGGCTTGGATCGGGTGCAGGTACAAAGTCAGCCTGATGAATAAAGATAAAAGTGAACACAAGGCAACCTGGTATGGTAGCTCATATTACTAAGAAATTCAATCTCAACCTTTATATTCCCCTTCCATAATACATCGACTAGTTCCATGCGCTCAATCAATAAGCCACCTCCTCCTCTTGAACAAACAAGTACACTGGTGCCAGAGTCATTTCTGCGACAGTAAACAGAAAAATAATGCAGTAAATTACAACATCCACAGTAAATTAAGTGCAAAATGATGAATTATTGAAGAAACCTGCACCTAATAGGTTTGAAGTCTAAAGGACAATGCTGAATTATTGTCTCCAGTGCAAGACTAACACCAACAGCACCTGGAAGATTTGGTTTCTGGAAAAGAAAATACAAAAATAATAATTAATTCACTACAAAACACAAGCTCACTATAATATAGTTCAGAAAAGTATGATGCAACTCAGCAAATTATGTGCAGTTCTGCATGTGCACAAAGAATCCCAAAGAAATGCTAGTATTATGACTTATGAAGCATGGCCATGCTTAAATTAATGAAATACCAGTAAAAGCTCTTTCTACAAATTCTCTTTATTCTAATAATAAAAATTTTGTTATCTAAAAGTAGAGTCTGTCCTTTCTGCTCCCAGACCTTGGAAAAGTTGTGCTCATGAATGGATTAGATAAGTTTCTTGATATGTAAATTCTGAAATTTAGAGAAATTGAATTTCTTGTATGTTGAGAAGGATCATATTACAAGGGTATATATATCTTTTACAAAGTCAAAAGATAGAAAATTAACTATCAAATCTCTACACTAGGGGGGTTCCTAACCAGTACCCCATAATTTTAAGAAGATCAATTTCCTAATAGATCCTACCAAGCTCATCCTCAAGTTGATGAATATGCATCTTTCATTCATAGGTTGGAGATAAATCCTTGAAACATTTTACTACTGAGTCCTTTTGTCGGTACATCGACAAGTTGACTGTTAATTGAGGCATATAGAGTACAAGTTAATCAACTATCAAGCTTTCTTTATTTATGAAGTGCCTATCTGTTTCAATATGCTTCGTTATATCATAATACACAGAATCGTGAGCAATGCTAATGACAAACATTTTGTTGCAAAATAATTTTATTAGTTATTCCCATATGTTCCTCAAATCTTCCAAAATTATCTTGAGTAATAATAATTCACATACTTTTCTGTCCCATCATTGAACTTTGCCTTTGCACTTGATTTAATAACCAAATTCTGCTTCTTGCTCCTCCAGGTCACAAGATTATCTTACAAAAACGGTACAATGCCTTGTAGTAGACTGCTTATTAATTGCTGAGTCTCCATAATTTGCATTGCCGTATACTTCGAGCATTAATCTACTGTTATTTTTGAATTGATGGTGTCTTTACGCTGTGCGCGCAGCTGTCTGTGCATGGTAGAGGAGGTTGGCACATGGCTGAGGGATAGAGGCTGTGCAGGTGCGATTCTAGTGGCTGGCAGGTGAGCCGCTCCTTCTGGCATCTCCTGGCCGTGCGACTTGGGGATTAGGGCCAGCTATGAAGACCAACTTGTCATGGAGATGGCCAGTCTTGTGGTGGCAAGTGGCTGGAGTGTGGTGGTTGGCAATGAAGGTTAATATCCTTTAAAGTTTTGTTGTTTCAGCAATGAAGACCAAATAGGGTTTGTTAAAAAATTTAGAGTTTTTTATCCTAGTGCCTTGATATCATGTTAAAAATGATTGATTTTGTATTTCATTGAATATCATAATCCTCTATATAAAAGTTTTTAAGGAAATAGACAATTAATTATATGGGTTGATTGATGAGAACTTATCCTGTCTAGCCAGTAGTGTTGAAAAACGATGTCATCTTAGCTCTTTCTAACATCTTCTTCTCTAGAATGGTGCATCGAGTCTCTTCCTTCAAGGATTTCATACCAGAGAGGTTCAACAAGGATCCTAGTGAATAAGGCTACAGATAGAGAATTCAAGTCCAGTTAAGGAGAAAAAAAAAGAAGGTTGACATTAGCTGTGTGGCAATCAAAGCCATAGGAAAAAATCAAAGAAAACAGAGAAGATAATGCACCAGGGAGGCTTTAGTGTGCAAAGGACATTCTCGTGCCGGAGTGGCGTCGAATAAAAGAGACTGTAAACTCTATTATAGCTTTTCTTTTTCTTAATAGCAAAAACAAGAGCAAAAAGATAAGTACGAGAGAAGTCTAGAAAAGAACCTAGGTACTGATACCATCTGAAATTTAGAAAAAACTAAGTTTCTTGTATACTGAAAAGAATGATGTGTATATAGGTATATATAGCCTTTATAAAGAGAAAAGGCAACAAACTAATTACAACAAATCAAATCAAATCAAATCTTCATGTTAGTGGATTCCCTAATTGGTATTTCACTATTTTAGAAAGATTAATTTCCTAATAAAAAATGAAAGGATTTTCTATCATTAAAAATTTTCTAATGATTCTAGACTGACCTAGTGATTTGAAACATGATTAAAGTAGTCCGTAAATTGCTAGTTTTGATTCTTAACTCGTTAATTTTCACTAACTCATTCATGAACTATTATTGTGCAAGAATAGAATGTTACGATTATTATTGAATAGTTGGGTCCTATATATACCCAGCTTTTGAGTATAAGAAAGGAAACTCTAAAATTAATTACATAGGAGTGTTCCACTATTATACTCTTATGCATTAAATTAAATATATGCACTTTCCAACAATTATATTTTATAAGGAACTATATGAAGACATGATAATCACAAAGTTATTGGGTGCACCATAGAAGAAGTAAGCATCTAACTTTTATGGAAAAGGATAGACAACTCCACCCCTCATAAGCTCTTCAGCTTGTCCAATTCCATGTCATCCAAAATATAAGCAAGGACACCAAACGAATTAGATTTTTGAGTTTCCTATGAGCATTTGATGTGGGCAAAGGTGACATGAATCATTCAAGGGACCTCATGAAGCATGGAAATCACAGCAAGATCCATACACCCAAAGATCCTCACGGTCTACTCCAATTAAGTAGAATTAAAGAGTCCTCAAGGTGGTGGACTCTCGGGATTTCCCATTGCTTTTACAAGTGGAAGTTAATCACTCACTTTGGGAGAGTCCTATCCGAGTTTAGAGCATATTTCACATATGAAATTAAAAGATTTTATTCCTTAAAATCTAGTCAAGGTTCCACATTATCCAAGCCGCCCACTTAGATACAATTTTTGTCACACATTCTCTTCATCAAGATGTGAAGTTCAACTTCAAGTCATATTTGGAATTCATGAATCCTAATTCAAGTAAAATTTGTGTCCAAGTTTCCTTAAGGAATTTGAAATCAATCTTGCAAGAGTTCTAATTGGTTTCATCTTCATAAATTAATATTTTAAATGAGTTGAAATCATGTTTGAATTATGAAAGTTCAAAGGGATAAGGATTCCCATTCATGGCCGATTACTACAAAAGAAAGGAGTTGTTTTGCCACTCAAACATGGCTGGATTTTCTCCCAGATTTTATCCTATATTTTTTACTAGATTTTCTCTTAAATTTTCTCTTTCATTTTCTTCTCGATTTTCTCCTGGTTTTTCTCCTAAATTTTCTCCTAGATTTTCTTCTCGATTTTCTCATGGAAGAAGAATTGTTTTCTACTTCAATTTGGAAGCTTTTTAAGCCATCTTCAACACAACTTTTTCATCAAAATTAATTAATTATTGAAATCCAAATTCGATTAAAATAAGGAGGAAAAATTCGGCCACAACTAGAATTTGCATTCAAGATAGATTAATTCATATCAATAGAATTTTAAGTTCTTTTTCAAACTTTAGTCTTCGGCTACCGTTAGTGCTCTTTGAGAGAGTTCTTCAACTATCTTATTAAGTGGATAATTGGTTCTACTTACTGAGATAATCTTGTGCCGTTTTATCAATTCTTATTTTTTTCTTCCAATTCCTTAATTTGCAATCACATGTTGTTAAACTGTATATTGCAGTGTTTGATCACATTGGTTGCTCATGAGTTCCACATCAGCATTGATGCCCAATCCAAGCACACTTGAAAGACCAATTGAGTACACTACCATCCAAGATAAAGTAATACATTTAAGGGCCATCTTCAGAAGTAGTCAATTTTGCATGCCAACGGTTAGAATGTAATAGAGGTATAAGATAATCTATTTTCTATTATATTAAACTTCTAGGAGAATAAGTCAAATCTTAGCTTTCTCACCCCTTGTTTCTTTTGCCTATTGCACATAATTGAGCCATCTCCTACCGGCTTGTCCGCTTATATCCACATGCAATCCAGTTGCATGTAAGGCAAGTTTCATCCTATTGCTCATAATTAAGCCATCTACTACTAATTGTGTGCTTGTATCACACATGCAACTCACTTGCACGTAAGCAAGTTTTATAATAGAATGTAACTGATAAGTTGATATCCACATGCAAACACACTTGCATGTAAGGCAAGCTTTTAGTAGAATATAAATGATAAGTTGAGTTTGTTAATCGATTTAAACCTTTGGGACAATTAAGTGCCCAACCCTATCGAGAAATTGTGAAACTTTTAAAATTTTTCATAAATTTCACCTAAATGTGACAGTAGTATGAAATCCACTTTCATAATTGATTATCTTATTCTAATAGAGATCAAATTGTCAAAGTAATATAATATGACCCATTAACATGGCAACTAATCACTAAGATTAAGAAAAGGCTTAGTGACATTATCTCTAACATCCAAAGTTCTTATGGCAAACATATACACATTTTAGGCTTGCTTCCTTGCCAAGAAGTGGTTGCACATCTAAAAAGATACAAGTGCTCAGTTATGGTGTTTAAATTGGATTTGAAGGAGACTTATGATAGAGTAAGTCAGGTATAGGATGGCAATGGAGCGAATATGAGGTGGATATGAACAAACCCAAACCTGCCCCAAGCTTTGATGCAGAAAACCCTGTCCGGAAGCGGGTTTAATTTTTTAATATTATTTCAAAATGTAGCGGGTTTACAGATTATCCACACTGTAACCAACTCGCAATGAATAAATCACTAATATATTACAAATTATACATTATAAATATATATTTTCTTTTTTATTAAATTAAAAATATACATAAAAATCATTGAAAAACATAACTTTCTAACTCTGTCCTCCACAATCCATGACTCCCGATGTGTGTGTATATATATATTAACCCTAAACCTCTTCCCCTCTCTCCTTAAAGCCGTTGCAACCTCTTTGCTAGTTCATTAACTTGGTGGCTTGGTCTACGGTCAGCTGTTTCTAAGTTCTCTTTGCTCGTCTGGCTTGGTCTCTTTTATTTTTTTTCCTCTCTCTCCAGTCGCCATGTAATCATTTATTCTTTTTTTGCCATCGGTCTTCCTCTTCATTTGATATATATTCAGAGCAAAAAAAACAGAAGAAAGTTTAGACTACAAAAGAAGTTACAAAAGTTCAGAACTTTCCTTTTCTTAGTTTCTGCTAAGTGCTGTTTATTTCTTTTTCGAGTTATTTGGCTAGAGTTTGGGATAGGATAGTCTTCTTTGCTTCTCATTGGCTTTGTCCAATGTTGCTTTTGCAGGATGCCATTCTCTCTTTGAAAAAGGATTGGGTTTCTATTATGTCTTAATAATTTGCTTTTATGTAATTTTTAGTTGCCAAGAGGATATCTTGTTCTCTCATTAAATCTTCTGCAAGAGGTCTCTCTCTCTCTCTAATATTTCTTTCATAAAAAAAATATCCAAGGAGTCCACATGCATGTAAATCAAATTCGTGGAAAACTAAAATATCTTGAAACAAATTAACGAAGCATGACATACATATTCACGCCCCCACATTTGATGGAGTAAGTAATCATATCGGCCACCAACAGCAAGCAATACGTCTTCTACAAGTTGTCCAGGATTGTTATCCTTTGTTAAAAATAGCTGACAGAGAAATTGCAATTCACTTGTTAGAAGCATCAGATTAAAGTTTGCCCATATGTATCAGATTGGTTTAATACTCAATTCTACTTTGCAAATGAGTTACTCATCTTAATAAAATTTATGTATAGCCAAATATGCACATCATTTTAATTAGCTATAAAAAGCTTGGACAAACAAATCCGTTGAAATTTTAGCTGAGTGCGAAATAACCGTAGAAAATAGTTCCATGACATAACTTTCCCAGAGATAGCAGTTAGTACATAAAGTAGGCAGTTTAGCTAGTATTACACGGAGAACAGAGGTACTTTAGGCCTACAACCAAATTTGCAAATGAAAGCATCTAATTACAGAAGAAGAGCTTAGAATACCAAATGCATGAATATCTTAGCTGTGTACGAAATAGCAGTTCTAAGTAATTCCATGACAGTTAATAGAAATTCCATAACCCACAACTTTCCTATCTCATCACCACACACAGCATTGATGATACTCAACGAATATA